CAGGTCATTATCAATCTATCTAATGATTCCAGGTAATTATAATCTCTTTATAGATTTTGATTTTCTTCCATATTTAGATTCTTGATGTTGATTGTTCTTGAATTTTATGGCTTTTATTTTAGAATAATTATGAATGAGGATTCCTTTAATTTTCCACCCGAAATGATCTGTTTTATTTTCTTCATGTGAAGCTGGTGGGTGAGCATTGGAATTGGAGAAAAGTTGGGCTTTGCAAGAGACAGGTTGATGGAAAATTTCTTTTGGACAGTAGGTGTTGGATTTGAACCTGGTTGTGGATATGTTAGAAGAATGAGTACAAAAATAAATGCATTGATTCCACTAATAGATGATGTCTATGATGTCTATGGTACATTGGATGAACTCCAATTCTTTACCTATGCTGTAGAGAGGTAAGTGCATAATTGGTGGTTCTATTTTAGGTTATAAAGTTTTTGTTAAAATTATATTTGTGTTCTTAGCTAAATTTAAAAAAAAAAAGTTTTTGAAAACTTCTTTTTTACTTATATTTTAAAAATTAGATAAAAAAACAATTGCATTTACAAGCTTATATTTTTTGAAAATAGAAAACAAAAAACAAAATGATTATCAAATCAGACTTTAAATTCTTACCATTAACAGGAACACAAATATTACTTCATTTCTTAAAAAATTTTAATGAAGTAGTGTGTTCTCGACTGATTCGAATTAATATGGAAGATTGACTCACGTAATTGTCTAGCCTAATTATCTATGTAGTTAATTTTCTTAACCTAATGTTTGATCCTGCAACTATACAAGGCTCAAACTTAGATGGTCGACGTACGAAGGAACCTGTATAGAGAAAGTAAAAAGCTCTGATACTCAAGTCAGTACACAATCCGACCTATTACTCTAGATAGAATAGTTTCGCGTACCTAAAGAATGAGGCGTGCGGCTCTCTTTATAGGTGTTGAGCTTCTGACAGCGATAGAAGAGCTGTTATGACTGTTTCATAAATCACGGCATGTTGTCGGAAAGACGATTGAGTGATTTTGTAATACAGCTCAACCTTGTTGGCCAAGCTATATTCTATTGGTCGAGGTACTCTATGTGGCCGAGCTATGAATCAAATTGTGAGATACTTCATGGTCGAGCTATCTCTTAAGGCCGAGGTAGTTTATGGGCGATGTACCTCTTATGGCGAAGCTATCTCTCATGACTAAGTTATCTCTTATAGCTGAGAGGTACTTCATGGTCGAGGTGTCTCTTATGGTTGAGGTACCTCTGCCTATATCTCTTGAGGTCGAGGTACCTCTCATTGCCGAGCTATCTCTTATGGTCGAGGTGTCTCTTATGGCAGCGATCTCTTTTGTTGGTCCACGTGTCATGTTGTTTTTTTTATCACTGAACATCTAATTTATCCCCTATTGCAGTGTAGCTATTGAAAAACTAGGAGTATAGACCATTTAGAATATTTTTCAACCTTTAAAATTTAAATGTCAAGAATTTTTTTCTTTTTTGAAAAAAATAAAATTCTTTAACAAACAAGAGAACAATCCTGAGTGTTGGATCGGTATGACAACCCTAGAGGGGGGTGAATAGGGTTTAATTAAACTTTATAAACTTTTTACTACGGTGGGCCCAAATTTAAACAAATAAGTAAACTTTTTTAGGAACAATTAATTTTATCACAAATTAAACAATAAATTAGAAATACAAACACCCTAATTAATTTCACCACCCAAATAATTCAAATATAAACATTGAGCATAAATATGAATAACAAATTCGAACAATTAATTTTATGCAATTTGTAATTAAGAAAATTAATTGCAAAAATTAAATAGAGTAGGGTTAGAGAAAATGACACAGGAAATTTTATAGTGGTTCGGCAATAACCGGCCTACTCCACTCCCCAAGCGCCTCTTGAGTATTCGATTAAGAAACTTTGACTCTTTCCACGGTAGGAGTCAAATCGGTATAAAACCTTCTTTTTCCGGGAGCAAGAAGAAACCCGATCCTTTCCACGGTTCAGGATCAAACCGTTACAACGCTCTTTTTCGGGCTCAAGAGCAACCCTTACAAAGGATATGAAAATTTGAGAACGAATTTACAAACTCTCTCAAAGAGTGGGTATACAAATATTTGCTCACAAATTTGTAAGAAAAAATTCTTACAAATAAAAGCCCTCAAATTGGCTAAAAGAAATAAAATTGGAAGCTCAAATATCTCTCAAATAAAAAATCTCCCTCAAGAATATAGAACAAAAATTAAAGCTTTGAAGAGACATTAACAATGTAGAAATTTGGAGAGAAAATTGGGAGAGAATGAATTGTATAAAATGTTGAAGGAAGTGGGGTTTAAATAGGTGAGGAAAAGTTGAAAATAAATTTGAAATCGAAATTGAATTTGGGCCATTAGATTTTTAATGATTGAAAATCAAATATTGAGATTTAATTGAATAAAATAATAAAATAATAATAAAATATTATATATGGATGTGTGAAACGGCTATATATATATATATTATAATATAATATATATATATTTTTTAAAACAAATATGCATTTAATGTGATGTGATATATATATATATATTTTTCTTTTTATTATTATTTTTTTTTCTTTTAAGTTACCTCAACGGTAACTTTGTTTTTTTTTCTTTTCCTTTTTTTTTTGACATCATGTCACATGNGAAGTATTAAACCTAATGAGATCCCATACATAATCCACCGTTTCTTCCACCCCCTAAACAATCTATTATTCCTTTCTAGCCAGATACCCTATAACGAAGCCAAAAAGCCCGCCTGCCAAAGAAAACGGCCTCTGTCCGAAAGGGGGGAACAACAACACTTCCTCCATCATCATCTTACAGTTTCTGGAGCGAACCCAAACAATCCCAAAACATCTGAAGAACCGAAGCCATAAATCCTGCGCAAGCTCACAGTTCCAGAACAAATGGTCGAGATCTTCCGAGGCTTTCCTACAAAGAACACACCACTGCGGACCAAGACAGAAAGAAGACATCTTTTGAATACGATCCATGGTATTGACTTTTCCCAAAAAGACTTGACACGCAAAGAACTTAATCTTCTTTGGATTGGACCCCTTTTCTTTAATGGGTGTCCACTTTTGGGCTGTCTTTTTGTATGCCCTTCTTGTATTTCTTTTCATTTTTCTTAATGAAAGTGCGGATTCTTATACAAAAAAAAAAAATAAATTTTGAGAAGATATTTGGGCGGATCGGCAGCTCTTGAACGTCCATTTTCCAAGATTATTTGTGTATCTGTAAATATTTGAGGTTGGCTAAAGGAGTTTTGGAATTTGGAGAAAAGAAGGTGAAGATTGTACTGAAAAAGAGCTTAATAGGAAATAGCAAAACTTTCAAGGCTGTTTAAATGTTTTTGCAATCAAGAGGAATAGCTCTCGTCAATTGAGTGTTCATGATAAATGCTTCAAGGGAAGTTTCAATAAGATCTATGCTGTTAAAAACTATAATGGCAGAAACAGGCTTCTTGCGCGGGGGTGTAGTGAAGGAAGGAAATCATTGTTGGTGCTCTTTATTAGATTCCTTTTGTAATTATACTCAATTGCGACGACCATTATCATTTTAAACAACAAGCTAGATCCCCTTATGATGGATGAAAGTATGAAAAGAAAGCCAAATGATGGAGAAAGGATGAAAAAAAATCAAACAAAAATTATGATGAATGAAAGTACGAAAAGAAAGCCAAAAAAAAAACTAGGTTTGAGCATCATGAGGCTACAAAGCAAGCCAACAAATTGAACAAAAAGGAGCTTAGCTGTTGGCAATCAAGAAAAGATGGTATATACCAAAACTTTTAGAATTGTAAACCCAAAGAGAGGTGCCAAAATGTGGCAAATCTCAAATCTCCTCACATGGCCTATCAATATTTGACGAGGTTATTTTGTTTCTTTCCTCAAGGCTGAAAAAATAGCTCACCAAAGTGAACAATTTCATCCTTGAACAGAGTACTTAAGGTAGCTTCCTCTATCACCATACCATGATGCAAAACTGTAAACATGCCAAAAATCTGCCACAATCGAGACCACAATTTGGTAGCAAAAGGGCATAGGCAATTTAAATCCTCTGTAGCACCTTTGCACAAAATACAACAATTGGGGAAGGACAAAATAGAGGCTCTCTTGAATAAAGTCTAAAGTAATAGCTATATTAATTGGGGCTAGAAAAGAACCAATTTTTTTCATGTTTGGGGATTTTAAGAGTTCATATCTTAGAGAAGAAAGGAAGGGAGTGTAGAGGAGGAGAGAAACAAAATTTTAGACAATGTCAAATAGGTTAGGAACCTAGTAGACTAGGCACAAAATTTAAAGCACTTTTAAAGTTAAGAAATTTATTAGACACAAAATTGAAAGTATAGAGACTTATTAGACACTTTTGAAATTCAAAGACCTATTAAWCATGCACCTAATTGGTTAATAGACTAAACTTGCAATTTAACCAAAATCCTGTTGTTTCTTCCAATCATCAAGACAAATACAAAGCCCTAGAATATCTACTATAGAAGTTTTAGAAGAATGCTCTTATATTACTTGGAGCTTATGAGTTTTATTTGAAAGGGAAAGAAGTGGGAACTTGTTTACTTCCTAGATGGTTGGGGAGGTGAGGTGTAGGTTGGGAGAAGGACACCGAGGGTTGGAGCTAGTTTTTGAACATCCTAAATGGATCTGGCGGTTCTCTGTCCAGGAACTATATTTAAGAGATTCTTTATAAGATCCTGACGTGAGTCTAATAAAATTACAGAGATAGGAAGGTTTTGTTCAAAAGTTCGGGGAGGGGCTCGAGTTTGAATAAGTTGTCTAAAGGGATCCACTTATAGAAAGATTATTTTGATCATTTTGACTTCTTCTATTCCATCTTTGTTGCACATAATCCTATTATATATGGCTTAAAGTTGAATTATTTTATTCCTTTTCCATAGCAGAGATTACCCTGTTGTAAGAACATTTTTGACCAATTAATTGTCATCCTTATGGCAGGATGTTATTGTGAAGCTTCGCTTTTGGAAGTTGCTCATGTCGGTTTTTGCCTTTTCATCTACTCCTGAATTGATGTTCGGACTATTCCTGCTTTATTACTTCAGAGTATTTGAGAGACAGATAGGTTCCAACAAATACTCGGTAAGCATTTTATTCAATTCATGCCGCACGATCTTATTAAAACATATGTCATTATGAAGCAACCAGTTATGGTCGTAAATTGAATGGACCACATTAATACAATGCAGTGCTTGGTCCATAAAACTTGAAACAGAATGTTTTATATTTTTAAACAAAATAAAAATATCAAACATAACTCTGCTGTTTTTTCCCACACCACAATATTACAAATATAAATTCCCCTTCTTATATTGTTCCTTAACTCTAGAGAGGAGGGCTGGTAAAAGTTTTGTGGTTGTCTGTGTATGCATTTTTGTAGTCATTTACATGAGTTGGGGCTCATATTTGAAAGAGTTTCTTGTTTGTCATTTCATTTCCCTTCATACATAAGATTGTAAGATCCAAATTTGGTATTATCATCGTAATTAGCTTCTGTAATATTGACAGTGGCTGTTAATTACTTATGATGTTCTTGGCTCCCATTCATTTTTTTTTTCTAGTTTTTGTGCACAAAACTTTGTTTATTTTTCTTTGGTGATGTTTGTTTTCTCTTAATTAGATCTAAATTAAAATTCTGTAATGATGCAGGTCTTTATCTTGTTCTCTATAGTAACCTCCTTACTTTTTGAGGTCCTTGCAATATCACTACTTAAAGGTATGCATTCTACTCCAATCTACTAGTTTTCTTGGCAGCTAGTATAATTCTAAACTTGTGCTTGATTATTCTCTTGTTGTTGTTCTGCACCCCCTTCTTTTTCATTCTTTTAGCAGTGAATTGTTCTTTCCCTTATTTTCTCCCCTAAAAATTTGTTTGTTTGTTTGTTTGTTTGTTTTTTTCTGTTTTTTTTTGATAAGAAAGAATAACTTCATTCACTAAGGAAAAGATACAAGAAAAGGGCAGGGAGACGAGGGGGCCCCTCCCAAGGAACTAATACAAAGTAGCCCTCTAATCTTGGAGAATCATGGGTAAGTTGTAATTATAAAAGAATTTACTATGTTTAAAACCCCATAACGAAGTATTAAGCGGTACAGTATTACAATTGAGAGAGGGGAGGATTTGTTGTTGAAGACCCTTTGATTCCTCTCTTTCCAAAGGCACCACAAGAGGGCTCTAGTAGCACACCCCCACATAATTTTGAGCTTGACTTTTAAGGACCACCCATTCATCACTTCACTTAGCCAATCATCCACTCTAAATGGGAGATAAAGAGAAAAACCCATCTCTTGAAGAACGAACATCCAGAATGTGTTTAGGCACAAACTACACACTGAAGGAGCAAGATTCCAGCTTGAGAGCTTCCTTTGGAGTTTCTTGTGAGTATTTATACTGTCGTGGGCAAGGCACCAAGGGATTTACTTCACCTTTTTTGGGACTATTGAACTTCCAAATTGAGTCAACAAGCGGGACTTGAAGTTTCAGCAGACCATCAGTCAACTTAAGGAAGGCAGATTTTGTGGTGAAAACTTTAGAGCTCTCTAGGGTCCACTCCACTGTATCATCTCTATCCCTCGGCCGAAAGGACTCAAGTTTGCTCATCAAACCCAACCATCCCATTATCTGTCAAAAATACCTCTTCTAAAATCTAAAGCCCAAATTCCAAGTGCAATGCTCTTCTAACGAGTACACAGTGATGGATGCCTCCTTTTTGGATGAGAGATTATATAAATCCGGGAAAAGCTGCTGTAAAGGGGTGGAATCCAGCCAAGGATGATCCTTCTAGAAACTAACTTTCTAACCATTTATGACCTTAAACGAGACAAACTTGAAGAATGAAGGGCTGGTTTTCGCTATGTAGAACCAAGGGGAACCCACCACCTTATGGGAGGGAGAGATGCCCACACAAAGTGATCCTGTCCATAGATACTCACAATGATCCTCTTCCATAAAGGATTAGCTTCTTGCATGAATTTCCATAACCATCTTTGGAGAAGGGCAGTGTTTCTTTGGTAAAAAGAACCATCATCGAGGCCATCGTAAGATAAGGGAGGGCCTGTAATTTCCCATTTCATCAAATGCTTTAGAAATTTTGAGGGGCACCCACCCCACACAAAGTTTCGAACCACTCTCTCTATTCGAGCATCGGCTTTCTTCGGAGCTCTAAAGATGGAGAAAGCATACGCCGGAAGGCTATTGAACATAAAGTTGCAAAGGCTGGGTGACCCCCTTTCAAGATCAGAGAGTTTTTCCATTTATCAAGCTTTGCCGCAAACTTATCAATAGGAGGCTTCCAAAATAAACCTTTCTAGGATTACCTCCCAAGGGAACTTCCAAATAGTTGAAAGGAAGGTCTTCTACTTAACAGCCAGCTCGGAAGCTGCCAACAACAGTTGCTGCCTCTCGATGTTAATCCCCACCAAATTAGTTTTCTCATTGTTGAGCAACAAACCAGACCCAAGAATAAGGACAGAAAGGACCACCATCTCTAAGGTCGCAATCATCAAAATTGCGGAAAATCAAAGTTTCATCAACAAACTGTAGGTGAGTAATCTCTATCTCGAGTGCCTACCTGGGGACCTTTCAAAAGTCACCTTTAACACCATTAGTGGATGGAGCGACCAAGGGAATAACCTTAAGGGTTAAAAGAAAGGGAGAGAATATCGCCTTGTCTAAGCCATCTCTTTGCAAAAATCTTACCTCTAGGCTGGCATTGAGAAGAATAGAGAAGTTGGCTGTCGAGATACAATCCTTTATCAACTTCCTCCATTTTGTCCCAAAACCCTTAAGCTCAAGAATGCTGTCGCGGTAATCCCAATCAACATTGTGATAGAATCTGCTTCTATTATTTATGTATTAGAGGGGAATTTACAGGTAGAGGTAGAGGGAGATTGAAGAGCTCCCTAGCCTCTCCTACAATTCCTTACAAGGAAAAATACCAACCAAAAAGATACCCCCACCCCTCAACCACAGCAGACTAACCACTCAGTTTACTGCCAAAATTACCCCCCTAACTAACTAGGGCCCACAAGGGTATTTCCTCCTTTTCCCCTATTACCCTTCCTCCTAACATACCTATTTACAATTGGGGGTCTATCACCTTGTCATAAGCCTTTTCAAGGTCGAGCTTTAGGAGGTATCCTTTCTTCTTGTAGAGACTAAGGTTGGAGAGAATCCAATGTAATGTATTCTCATTATTAAAGTCTATATATGTAGACAAATATACAAGGTTGACCTAATCTTATAAGGAGAAGGTAAATGACAAATTAATATTAATACAAGAATATAAAATATACTAATATATACTCTAACACTCCCCCTCAAGTTGGTGCATATATATTAATCATGCCTAACTTGTTAGACAAATAATCTATTCGTGCTCCATTCAATGCTTTAGTAAAGATATCTCCTAGCTGCTTTCCAGTCTTCACATATAGCCACCAATCCTTGTTGTATTTTCTCACGTACATAATGACAATCAACTTCAATGTGTTTGGTTCTTTCATGAAATACTGGATTAGATGCAATATGAAGAGCTGCTTGATTATCACACCAAAGTTTCATTGGAGTGGTGATGCCAAATCCCAATTCAGTCAGAAGCTGCTGTATCCATACTAATTCACACACCGACTGTGTCATAGCTCTATATTCTGATTCAGCACTCGAACGCGACACCGCATTTTGTTTCTTACTTTTCCAAGAAACTAAATTACCTCCGACAAATACACAATATCCTAAGGTTGATCTTCTATCTTTCTTAGAACCTGCCCAATCAACATCTGAAAAATATTCAGTATTAAGATGACCATGATCTTTATATAACAAACCACGTCCAGGAGCACCTTTCAAATAACATAAAATATGTTCCAATGCGATCCAATGGTCAGTCGTAGGA